CTTCTACCTGTTAAGAGATAAGGTTATAGTGAGGCCTGAGTGAAATAGGGGAGAACATAGAATGCTAAATGGTATCAGCCCATTCAGAAAATATTAGAGGCTTTAATCAAGGTATTAGAATAATAAGTGAAGAGATTTGATCATATTTAATGTACATTTTGAATGAAGAGTTAAGGAAATAGTCTACTTTTTCAAAGTCTCCAGATACCTTAGGAACTTATTATATTGGCTTTTCATGAAATAAAAAAGCAAAAAGAATCTGGATTTAAGAACTAAATGTGCTGAAATTATTAACTATGCTGGGAAACCTCAGGATTTAAATTCTCTGATCTCTCCTGTCTTAGTGACAGAATTTAAACAGCACTTCTTGTTCCCCCCTTACATGGCTATTATGAAAGTTCAATAAAATACTTCTCAAACTAATTTTAACTTAATCAACCTGCTAGATTAGCAAAAACTGTGAAGTATACACATGGAAACTAATGGCTCATTAAATGCTAAAATCTAGTAAACTGCTCTTCAATAAAAATATCAAATTGGGATGTGGATCCATTAACCGTAAGGATAAAAAAATGTGTAATATACAATATGTATGACTTGATACTAGGTTTGCTTTATATGCATATCGTATCATTTGAATAAATAAAGACTAAAAATTGTGCAAATGAATTTGCAATGAGCTATGGAAGACAAATCCACACAGAACTTACAGAATTCTAATCAGAGAACCAATGCTCAGTAACCAAAAATATATTTGTCCTTCATCAAGTGAGTTGTAAAGTGCAGTGTATTTATATGTCTTCAAATTAAAATGTTTAATACTATGTGTGTTTTCGGTGACAATAAAATAGAGCCCAGTCTGCACTTGTAGAGGACATGAGTTTGTCTGCCAGAACCTTTGTCAGATGGTTCACAGCCTCCAATGCCTCTGGCCTCTGTGGGTGTATACACACACACACACACACACACACACACACACACACACAGAGAGAGAGAGAGAGAGAGAGAGAGAGAGAGAGAGAGAGAGAGAGAGAGAGAGAGATGTGCATATATACACATAATTTAAAATAAATCTTTGGGCTGAAGAAATAACCAGCAGTTAAGAGCACTGATGGCTCCTCCAGAGGATCCAGTTAGATTCCCAGCACTTGCATGGTGGCTCTCAACTGTCTGTAACCCAGGAATCCAGTGCCGCCTTCTGGCCTCCATGGACATGAGGCACACAAGCAGTACATAGACATACATGCACACAAAACACCCACACACATAAAACAAAAATAAGAATTGTTTCAATACATAATTATTGGTAGTTTTTGTTTTTTAGCTTAACCTATTTTCAGTTAAGCAACCAATGATGTCATTCTGTTAAAAAGCACATCAACGCCTAGTTCTCAATATTAACTGTGCCTGAGAATCTTCTATGGGGCTTTTTTTAATGCCAATTTCTGGGCCTTATCCCTGGATACTTTGATTCTCTAACACTGGGGTGAGGCTAGAACTCATCAAGAACCCCTATTCTGTTAGTAGGGGACACTCAAACAACTAAGTGAGATATAAAAGCAAAACAACACATTTGCTTTTCAGGACATTCATAGTATAAAGGCAGAAACATTTTAAAAAGTAAAGTGAACAGAAGCAGTGGTCAGAACTGGTCTCATAGAGGTGGTCCTTAAAAAAATGGTAAAGGCTAACTGAGAGTTCTCCAATTATACATATTAAAGGTTAAGAGCTGGTCTAAATGAAGTCAAGGAATGGGAAGAAGCATTAGATGTATGAAAAAATGATGCTCTAGAGCAATATAATATGCCTAGGGAACCAAGGAAATAAATATAAGCAGGAAGGTAAATGGGACACCTTTCTTAAGAGAACTATAAGAAAATCAAGATTAAAATGTATTATATAAAGCAGTGTTTTCAAATTGAGTTTCCCAGAATTCATATTTGGGAAAGGTAGTTCGTGTATGTTGCAAGTAGCTGAGTAAAATGGCACTCAAATGCACATATTGAACTTGAAATAGGTTATAATAAACTTAGGCATTAGCCTGTTTCTCTGATCTTGAGCATTTTTTCATTTATGATGAAGAGCTTAGCTTTACTTTTTTGAAGGATAACAAATGCCTATACTTGCCTATGGACAGTATTATACAAAAACACAAAATACAAAAAGTATTGATTGGCTGTATAACTTGTTATAATTCATCAAATAAATTTAAGCCAATAAAGCATCACATTTATTTGTTTTAATCAGTTTTACTGGAGTTGAACAAGACTTTTGTTTCTAGAGAATTACTGCTCTATGGAAACTAACATAGAATTTGTCCCAGGCAAATCATATTGCATTTGGATAATAACATTATTACAACAAAATGAAGTATAATAAGGTAAAATAAGAAGTGAGGAAATCAGAACGTATTTTCAAGATACAAATCAAGAAAATAAGATGAAATGAACAAGTACTGGGATGGGAAATGGCATAAAACTCAGAAATACAAAGGAAATAGGATTTGATTATTCATCAGATAGTAAAGGGAGGGGCTTCGTTCAGAAAAACAGGATCTAGATTTCCACTTCAGTTTTAGCCATGATGAAACGGTAAAAGCACCCAGAAGGTGCTGACTTCCTACTATTCAGAAGAGAATGTTCTTTGCGCATATAATCACTAAGTCTAAATGAAGTCCTCATTTCAATAACAGCTCTAATTTTGGATTTCCTTAATCCATTTTATATATCCATTATAGACTATGTTACCTATAATATAGTTACATAATCTCTTTTCAAAATTAACTGTAGTCCTTGCCAAAGATGCTATTGTATTTTCCTTATCTGGTGTGACTTCAGTACTATTAATGCATAGCTAATATAGCTATCTAGCCTCATAATTTATTTGAAAGTTATTACCCTAAATAATATATTACATTATTTAATATATTATTTATATTATATTATATATAATATATTGTAATGACTATATTTGTTCTACTACAAACAAGGTGATTTTTTTAACTTTAACGATATAAATATTTTATCACCCCTCCCAACTTGTGTCTTGGCTTCCCCGCATTTTCTTCTCAGATTCTAATAAGCTTTCTTTCAGATAAAGAAAACAAAAATTTATTCCCATACTACAGATGCAGAAATCAAGGTTCCAGGGAGAAAAATATCTTCCCCATGATAGCATAGCTGGCAAATGACAGGGTTTTAAATAGTTTTTTTTTTGTTTTGTTTTGTTTTTTTGGTTTTTCAAGACAGGGTTTCTCTGTATAGCTTTGCGCCTTTCCTGGATCTCGCTCTGTAGCCCAGGCTGGCCTCGAACTCACAGAGATCCGCCTGCCTCTGCCTCCCGAGTGCTGGGATTAAAGGCGTGCGCCACCACTGCCCGGCCTAAATGGTTTTTTAAAAAGTCCGATTCATCGGATTTGCAGGCCAGTGTTCTTCCTACCATGCCATATGTATTCAAAATAGCACATACTTAACTTCTGCCACTTGTCATGACCATTCATTTCTTAATAAACTTGTAGGTGACCACGTGCTGCGCTTTATTTCCTGTATTTACACATACTTTTGATTTTTTTTATTTAAAACTTTCTCTACCAGCTTTACAGCCTCAACTGCCCAACATCCCTCTGGTTCAGACGTCTACCTGTTTTGTTCTAATTTTATCTCTAATAAAATTCTTCTGTATCACTATCACCTTCATTAATTGAGAGGATTAAGAATTTTTTTCAGAATGTAGGAAAGGAAATAGAAAAAAATAGAGAATCAAGATGTAATTCTCCTGCACAGCAATTCGAATTTGGCTCCCAGGACTCTTCCCATGCTTGCTTCAGGACAACCATATTAAGCTCTTCCTTAGACTCATATAATATCTATTACATCATATGAAGGGGGAGATCATTATTGTATTCAAGCTTCACACAATTGATTAAATCTGTTTAATTCTAAATAAGCTTGAACTTTTAAGTAAACTAATAGCTATAGATTTAATATTTTATATAATCCTTCTAGGAAAAGCTGAGGTAATGACTAAAACCTTATTATATATCATTTGTTTACTATAAAATTAAGAATTTGCAATTCTTTTTTGAAGTCTAAAATTATTTGGTACTTAATTCTTGTAGCTTCTAAAGTTTACTATTTTTCCTATTATGTATTCAAACACATTTATAAAACTATATCCATTTGTATCATACAAATCACTCAAAGCTTTTTTCCTTGTATAAATCATGCCAAAATTATAATCAAAGGCAACCCCCAAAAAGAGCAATAAAGGAAATATATTACATTATAAAGTGATACTATAATATCTTTATATAGTAATGTTACATCTGTTGTATTAATTCTCATTTTCTTTCCTTGTCCAAAAGTCTGCTTGTTTATTAGAAGCCCAAAATCAAAATATAACTGCCTAAAATTTTTTCTCACTAAACCAGAACACTGGTTACTTTGGAATTTTTTATGAGTATTGCAGGTTTTCACAAGCATTAAGCCCATAGAAACTGTATATTCATGAAGGGTCTAAAACCCTTTTTTTCATATCTAGAATTTTAAGAAAGTATCATTGGACACATAAATCTATTACCTCCCTAATTCTAGCAACATGGTAAGAGCGTTATTCATTTTACACTGAACAGAGAAATAGAACTAGCAATCAGTTTCTCTGGATAACACAGGAAACCAAGTGACTATCATTTCTCCTTCAGTTCACTATTTATACACAAGTATATTTTGTCCACTTTACTGGGCCTTAACGTCTTGCAAAGACTACTTTTCCTGTGTGTCTTCCTTCTCTTTAAACTACCGTTGCTTTTTACAAATTAATGCCCAAGCTGAAGTCTGATTTTAACTGACCTAGTACCAGGCTCTTTGAGGTTGGCGTCCCAACAGTTTCCAGCCCTGCGTACGTATGCACGTGTGTGTATGTGTATTCCATGTGCGTTTCCTTCTTTCTTCACAACAGTAAAATGAAAATTGAACAGGCCTTAAAGCCAACTCGAAACTTACCTTGCAAATCTGGAAATATTCGGAAGTCAGGCTCTCCTGGATCTCCTCTCGGAGAACCCCTGCAGTCCCTCCTGGATGGACGGAGCCACTGCCAGCCCCACCACTGTTACTGGCACTGCCGCTACCACTGCCCGGAGAAGAGGCAGTTAAGCCATCCAAAACTTTTCGGAAATTAAACTTCTTCATTTTAAACACTGTTGAGAAATGGAAAGGAAAGAGAAGGGGTGACGAACATGGAATCCTACGGGGCAAAAGCCTCTCTCTTTTCATTAGTCAAGACCGGAGGAGCTAGTCCCCATTTTCCGAGCATTGGATGTAGTCGAGTGGAGATTGGGGCTCAGGCTTCATTTTGTCGAAATTTTAACTTTAAAAGGCATGTCTTTATAAAAATAAAGAGAACACAACTCCGAGAGCAACAGTATTCCTTCCTCACACATCAGATTTTCAAGGGCTCTATCCCCAGCTGTAGCTCTGCTTTATCAGCACTGGGGTAAAAATAAAAGGCAGTGTCATCCTCGTCATTAACATTGTATCATCATTATTATACAATCAAGCCAGAGCCCACAGACCAAGACCCTCTGGATCGTCCTGAAAGGGGGTTGGGGGGGGCTTTCCTTCGTAAGGGTCAGCTCCGAAAATTTTATTATCAGAAAAAGCAATGTTGTGAGGGAGCCAATATTTACCCTGCCACCATGTTCGGGGCTCTCCCCCATCATCATCAACGCTCTCCCTTTCTCAATAGGAATTGGGGGATAGGGCAAAAAAAAAAAAATGGCTTTTTCCATCTCTTATTCCCCAAAACCCGGACCCCAAAACATCTGCGGGTGACTCACGGCCACAGTCGACGGGAGGGGCGAGCGGGGTGGGGGGGGGGGACCGTCTGCCTCCACCTGTCCCCGTCTCCTCTCTCCTGCCCCTCTCCCGCCCCTGGTCTCCCGTGTCCCCTGCCCGCCCGGCTCCCCTTCTGCACAGCGGCGGCTCCCGGGGGGGGGGGGGGGGGGATGTGAGGCGGCGGTGACGCCTGCGGGCCCGAGTCCCGCCTCAGCCTGCAGGGCGCGCAGCGCTGGCTCCCTCGCTCCCTTCTGCCGAGCAGGGCGCCGGGGCCGCCACCGCGGGGCTGCGAGCCCCTGGAGCCCTCACCGACAGCCGCGCTCGCTCGCCACACGCACCTCACAGACAGCGGCGCGGGCGCCGGCTCCCTCTCTCACGGACACACACACACACACACACACACACACACACACACGCTCACCAGCACGCACACAGGTGTGAGAGCAAGCCGCGATGGGACGGCACGGCTGTCCCTCGGGACCCCAGACTTAGCACCTTCCGCAGACGCCGCTCGCCAGCCGCCGGCCAGCCCGGGAGGCGGAGGGCGCGGAGGCTGCGGGCGCGCAGGCAGGCGGGCGGGCGACGGTCCAGCCCGGCTCCGGCCGCTTCTCGGGTCCCTCTGGTCCTGGTGCCTGGCGCTCTCCGAGGTCCTAACCGAGAGGGCGGGTCTGCCGCAGGCTCCGCCCCCGCCGTGGGAGGTAGGCCCCGCCCCAGCCGGCCCGCGCCCTCCTCCCTCTCCCAGACTCTCGCGGCGGGGGCGGGACACTCTAGGCGCCAGAGGGCGGGACATCCTCTCGCCAATCACAAGCTCCACTGACCCGAGTCCCCGGGACTCCAGACAGGAGAGAAGTTTGGGGATAGGTCGGACGAAAAGCCAGTGACAGGAGGAGGGGGGATCATTTAGGAAAGTAGGTGAGGTATTTGATTGACAGCCATCCTAGCCAGTATGCCCGGGCGCCGTGCTTTGGGGGCTGTAATTGGCGCTACCTGTTGAAGGACGCAAGTGTGAATCAATAGAATGCTTGCAAGCTTGAGAACTTGCGCTCCTGGAGTCCGAGGCTGCAGGAAGGGTTACCTTGGGTCTCGCTCTAGACCACAGTGTGAAGTGGGCTTTTCTGTAGCCTTTTCTTTCCCTGAATCTCTTCCTGCTCACCAGGTACTTCTATTGGGCTCCCCTCGCAGCCCTGCTATCTGCTTTTAATCCCTACAAAGTCTTAGCCTCCTAACGGCTTAGCAGGTCATCTGTACCAAAATGAAGTGGTTTTCGATGGAATATTGGCTTCCAAATCTTAAGGAATTGATTACCCAGCTTTGCACAGCCTATGAAATAGAACGTTCCCCTTCTTCACATAGACAAATTAAAATTTTAAGGAAACCATTCTCTCAAACCTTGTCAAGATGCATTTTAAGCTTTTTCTCATTTGGATCATTATGGGAAATACTCTATTCCATACAGGAAAACAAAAACAGTGCTCCATCGTGGGAAGACGTAGTTCTGAGCCCTGACTGGTTGTTCTTAAAAGGCAGCTCAGGGTCCATAACTCACAGTATACTTCAATCTGAGCAACACAACAGAGACCGTTAGTAACCATCCCAATATTTATTGTCTTATATCTTAGATATAGGATGACACTAGCGCCCCCCCCTTCTCTTTCAGAGCAGATGAGAGAAAGGGAAGGGGAGACTTGAATGTTACAGGAATTACTCAAGCACATAGCGAAAGAACAGTGGCAATGGAATAGCGCTCAGATTTTCCAATCCCCTGCTCAATGGTCACATTTTCATTTTGAGTGTTTTACTCCTTAATGTTTGCATTATTACTTTGTAACCCCCCCCCCCTTTATACTTTCATTGCCCCAACTTCTTAATGGCAGGAATGGAATTTTGTCCTTCTAGCTAATTTAGTACCTGGCACAATATTTCACTTGTAAAAGACATATAAGGGCTTTGGACAATGGGCTAGTAAATGCCTATCAGTTAAAGATTTATGAGATGATACTCAACATTTTGTGCTTTGGAGGGGTGGAAAATAAGTGTAGAAACAAAGTCCATATCTGTTATACACTAGATCTTGGTATTAGGCATTGTTGAATAAAATGATGGATTTTTGAATGCTTTCTTTCCTTCAGCAAAAGTTGACCTACCTGCAACTCCTTAAGTGTTCAATGAATGAAAATAAGTCCATAGCATGTGGAGGTCTGGTCTTGTGGTGAAAGCAAAGAAAGAAAATATCCCATTCAGCAAAGAGAGATAGAATGTTTACAAACAAAACCTGAATCACTTATCACCAACATTGCACTGTCACAAACTATGTGGTGGTCTGTAGTCTGTAAAACAAAAGTCTGAAAAGGGGAACGCATATGAAACAGATTGACAAAAGCTTTTCTGAAGACCTCAAAGGGAATTCAACAACCTGCTGAGTTAAAAAAAAAAAAAAAAGCGATAAAGCACACAGCCATGCAGCTGGAACAACAAATAGGTATGAAAAATAGAAAAGTCATGTCAAAATATATACATGGTTCTGGGGCTGGAGAGATGGCTCAGCGGTTAAGAGCACTGGCTGCTCTTCCAGAGGACCTGGGTTCAATTCTCAGCACCTACATGGCAGCTTACAACTGTCTGTAACTCCAGTTCCAGGGGACCCAACACCCTCACACAGACATGCAGGCAGGCAAAACACCAACACATATAAAGTAAAAATAAATAAATCATTATACATATATATATATATATATATACATATGTATGTTTCCAAATAAATATTAGAAACTTAAAACCGCTGATAATGTGACTTGGTGGTGAAACAGCTATCTAACATGTGCAAGACCCTGCTCTTGTCCTCATAAATATATACACAAATAAAATGAAATACTATATGTAGGACTCTCTGGCATTATTCTAAATATTAGGAATATTCTACAGTAGCACAATAACATACACATGGTAAGTATCCAGCATATATTAACTTGACTAAAAGATGAATGTGAAAATTTTAAAATAATTGTAACAAGTAAGAGAGAGAAAAATCTCCTGTGAACAGAAAATACGGTGATGACACCCGAGACAATGGGCAAAGATAGAAATTGGCAAAAGGGCAGAAGGCACCTTGGATGCTGGGAAACAGCACATACACTGTCACAGAAGACTCTCACTACATGAATCATGGTGAAATATATGAGGAAGCACATTCCATCCTGAATTAAAAGGCAACAGGGTGTTATTCTACAAACCATTTGGTAGCAGGAATGAGGTCAGAGCATACAGCATATCTTAAAAACAATGGGAAAATACCAAAGCTGGATAAAGTAATGATCACCCCACTGTAACCTTAAAGAATAGCCTCACACTGTGGAATTGCCTGAGTAGAGTTTCTGCATAAACCCTGACGTCTTCCTACCTATAGGGTAAGTACAAAGAGCTACCAGAAAGAACAATTGTCTGAGCTTGATACTTGCAACAAGGTAATTAAATCATTCAATGAAACCAATAAACTGGAAGGAGTTTTAGAATATGTGTTGGGAACATGTTACAACTCACTTTAAGGAATTATAATCTTGGGCTCAAGGCAACAATGAGGCTAATCCAAGCCACTTTTCCACACCAAAAAAAGACACAAAGTAACACAAAAATAGACACGTGTGACACTTCAAATAGAAAGGAGAATTTGTGGAATTGGCTGGACTTCGATAAAAGCAAGCAGGGATGACAAGGCAAATGTGCAAATGATACATTGCATGTCTAAAGTTCTACCAGGTGGATGTCATCTATATTCCAGACACTGGAAGCTGTGGACTTTACAAACATCTCATTAGTTTACTCCTCATTATCACTCTATGAGACAGGCAGTCATTCTCCCCATATTGTACAGCTAAGGAAACAAGGCTCAGAAAGAAATCTGCCCATAGTCACTTAAGATAATCTAGTCCTCAAATCTAAGAATAATGTTCAAGACCACGTTCTTACTCACTTACCTATTACTAATCAGAGAACTAAATAAACTAGAAAAGGAAAGGGGGTGGTCAGTTCTCCTGGAAAATGTGAATATATGTACATTAATTTGCCAGAACTATTAAAAAATAATGCAAATTGGGTTTCTTAAAGAAGAAAATTTATTTCCCCACCATTTTGGAATGTAGAAGTCTAAGATAAAGGTTTCAGCAGTCTTTTTCTTCTAAGGGCCCTAAGTGGCTCATACCTAGCCACCTTCTCTCTGTGTTTCAATTAGTCTTTTATCTGTGGGCTAGAATCCTATGTCTGTGTCCATATTCCCTCATCCTATGGTACCCATCAAACTATAGCAGAGCCCATCTTAGTGGCCTCATTTGAATTTTATCTTTAAGGTCTCAACTCCAAAGGAAATTGCTTTCTGAGGTAAGGCGGGGGCTTCAAAGTGTGAATTTGGGTGGAGGGATAGAGATCAGCCCATAACAGTGACAACCCATAACATCAAATCTGACATTCTTTGTAGAACATCTACTGTAAACAAGATCTATGTCAATTTTTTACATTTGGCTCCTCATTTAATCCTCACAGACATGATACGCAGTAGTTACTGATAACTCATTCCATAGGTGGTGAAACTGAAGAAAAAAGTAAATTCTTAAGCCCAAAACCATACAAAGGCTTGGAAACAGAGATTTAGATCATCAGTCTTATCCCTAAGCTCCAAAGTTCTCTATTTATGCTGGTGGCTTTCTTTTGAGAAACAAACAAAAAAAAGCTCATATAGATCTTTGATATTTAAGAAAGTTAATTATGGCCAGTTTCAAGTATGAGAATAAAACATAAAAACAAAAATCTCATCAGGAGTTTGGATACAACTAAAAGACATTTAAGAGTGGGAGGACAAAGAGTATGAAAAGCAAAGCCTTCTGGGATGGCAACCTCATGGACGTTTATCTCATAAGGAAAGCTTGGTATAATTTGAAATATATTAACAGAGTCACTAGGGTGTGCCCCATTAAAATAGAAGACAATCAGTTATTCAATAACTAATTAGACAGAGCAAGACAGTATTAATTTCCTGAGTGAGGCTGTAGTCTCAGCAAATATCAGAGCAGCTGGAGAGAGTCTTTGTAAAAGGAATGATAACGTGGGATTTACCATAACGCAAGGCAAGCAACTGTTCACATTAGCAAAAGCAAACTTCTCCAATCCGCTTGCTATGAGATAATGGGTCCTAGACCAAACAACCAAAGCTGTCACCCATTTCAGGTTCATCAGACAAATTACAGGGACATCCTTATTATTCGCCAACCTAGAAATTGGAATGTCATTATGAGAACACAGCTGAGATGCCGAGTTCCATCTACCTTCTTTCTGGTAAACCTTCAAGCATTAGAGAATTATCCTTCTTTCCAAATCTCTGTCTGACTTTCTTCTTACCTTATCATATATCCTTCATCAGAGGCACTGGTTAATAATTGTCCACTCTCTATCATATAGCAAGGAATAGCCATCGGCTATTAAAAAAAAATTCCCCATTCAGCCTACTGTAAGGCCACAAAAGGAAAAAAAAAAGCACACAGGGTTAATTAATTAAATAATGTCATACTCCCATGGGTTTCATAAAAAGCCAGGGGTCATAAGGATAGAACCAAAACATACAAAGTATGGCTCAGCACACAATCAATAACAG